CCCAGCCCAAACGTAACGCTGCTCACAAAGAAACACACCCTCCGCCCGAAAATGTCAGAAAACCGCCCGTACAGCGGCTGGAACGCGGTGCTGGTGACGAGGTACGACGTCGTCAGCCAGCTCGCCGTGTTCGCGGCGTCAAACTCGGAGCTGATGACGGCGTACGTCGCCGCCGTGATGGTCCCATCAAACCCGTAGAGGAAGACGTTGGCCATAATAGCCAGCTCGATCCAGAGGAACCCTCGTGGCGGCTTCCATGACTCGCCGGCCTCGATGGCGGCGGCTGGGTCGCGGAGGAGAGGTTGATCTTCGCGAGGGGCCGCCACGGCGGCGACGGCGGATTCCGAGTCCGGGTCGGAGTAGTACGGGGGCGGCGGTGATGCCGGGTTCGGAGGGTTGGCTCGTGCTCTGCCGACTTCATCGTCTGAGAAGCGGGGCCGGGAGCGCGGGCTGCTCATGGTGTGTGCCGGTTGGTTGACTTGGATGGAACTCTGTTAGGAAGGTTTGTTGGAAATGCTGCTTTACTTGATTTGGAGAGTAGCCGGGATTGGATGGAATGCTTCCGGGAACATGAAACAATGTGATTGACTGTGGGGAGATCGGTAGCTGGCAGGATCGGGAAATCCCAAGCAAAGAGCAATAAGAGAAAATTCAGAAAGCAGCGAACCCGCCGTGGCCTTTCTTGCAACCCCAAGTGTACTTCAACTGCTAAGTCTGGTCTGTAGTGCTAGGGTATGTTGGGATGACGGCAAGCGTGAATTCGCCATGGAGAAATTTCTGCAGTTTCATGACTCCCCGCCGATGGAGAACCGGCGTGCAAGGTCCGGATAATGTCCGTTGCGCGCATCCTGTCAGTGGGGTGCTACCGGGTGCCGGGTCGGGTCGACCAACGTCAACGAGTTTTCTTCCCTGGAGTAGGTAGTGGGTGAATATATTGCACCATCGACACGCAAAGCACGCAATCATGTATGGAGCTTGACGTTCTTCATGAGCTCTTGGTTCCAGTTACATGCCGTGATGCCATTCAACAGTACCAAGAAAAACCCGATTGTGTCCACTAACGGAGAGCCGTAGCCGGCCCCGAACAATCAGAGACGTCCATCACGGCAACATCTCTGACCGACCTCTCGGAGGTTCCTAGGCTACCTACCTAGGTAAAAGCCTCAGCCACCCATAAAGACATTGATCCAAAAGCCGTCTTTGGCTATGGCGAACTGCCTTGGTACGTCATCACAGCTATCAGGCCAAAGAAAGTAAGTAGGAATCACATGGCTTGTCAAATGATTCATACCCAACACAACATCTGGCGAAAGTCTCCTCACCTTAAGGAGTGTGCATGAAACTTCTCGACACTAATTGACAGACGGCACTGGGAACCCGGACAGTTTACCTCTGCTGAACGATAGCAGCCTCTTGAAGCAGTCGTAACCCCGAACCCAAGAAAAAACCACGGAGCGAGGCGCAGGTTCTATCGCAGCCTTCTGAAGAGGCCCTTTGCCCCCAGAAAAAGCTAGCCCTCCACCATGAGATTCCACACTCTGTGGCCGACACGTAGGGAAGTGAAGAAGTCGCGTTTGTCGATAGAGCCAGAGAAAGCTCAGTACTGCAACAGCCCAGGTCTTTTTGTGAAGTACGAACCACGCAGTGTACAACGTTGGCTCCCAGACAGCGTCCGAGGAACTTCTCTCGTAGCACCGCGGGAAGATACTTCTCGAATATAAATTCACGCAGAGCCATTTTGCCACATCAAAGCCAGACCCGTGCTGGCTCTGACTACAACAGCTAATTCCGCTCTCAACGAGACATCCGTCAATTGTTACGCCTGGTAATCTCGCCGCGGATAAACACCCCCAAAACCTATCCACGAAGTCTGCGTGGTTGAGATGTTCGTCCCTTCAGTCCCACTGAGGCTTGACTTGTGCATCACATTAGGTAGAAATGTGGAAAGCGATCCAACCTAGGGACTTTTTCTTCCTAAGAAAGAGCCAGGCTCTTGAAAGCATGACTTCAGACCCCAGCTGACTGGACAACTCAAGGCCGGTGGCTTCTAGACGGAACCTTCGCATTTGATGAGAATTGGCATGGCATTAGAAGCTGGCTCAGCGTTGAGCCCTGAGAGCCTCAGAGCCAGAAAAAGTGGAACGTGCGCCAGACTGCCGGAAATCTCGCTTACATAACACCGACCCACGTCACCTGACAAATAAAATCGCAGCCGCCGCAGAAATTTTCAAGATGGCTTCCCTCTCGTCCAACACCAAAAAAAAACCAACATATGCCAACACCAGCAGAGGATCAGACGCGTGAGCAGAGTAATTATTCATCAAACCAACAAGAAAGTCTCAATGCTGGCTACTTGTGGTTTCAAAAGATTGAAAAACAATCTGTAGACGCCGTCTGATCCTCTGGCATCACTAAAGGTATGTGAACTTGTCTGCTGTTCGGTCTTCATACACACTGCTCCCCCTCGTCTTAAAGATGATTTGGATTAATCTCCATTTGTATTTGATATCTTATTAAATGATTTTTATTCACACTGAAAATTCTGAAACGACACTATTTGTTACCTTCTTGTTTGCTCAGTTCCGGTCGTATACAGTCGGCTAACAAGACGGTCAGGTTTACCTGCAATTATACATGTCCAGGTTGACGCCTTGAGTGGTGGATTGGCTGGATATCTTGGTATCATGGTTATAGTTGATTATCATGCGAATACATCTCTTTCATCTGATCGATTCTGTTCCACGCGTAGAGACCTAGTCCGATGCTCGTAGCAAAAGGTTCCATAGACCATGAATACGTGGATCGTGCTTGGCAGAGTTCCAGTCAACTGCTGCCCGAGACGTCGGTGATCCCCGGGGGGCGCGGCGATGCAGGCCGTGGAGCCCCCATCTCTGATGGAATGCCTCCGGGCCAATGGTGAACCTGCTACGGTGACAAGCCGCGACAGGACGCGGGCAGGCGGGCACTCGCGCGGCTCTGCGCCTCCTGCAAGCTCCATCCTCCGGGCCTTGGGAGGCTTTGGGGAGGCCTCGGGATCTCTGGAAACTCCGTACTTCACAAGGACAAAGACGGCGAGCGAGCAGTTCGTTGCCGCACGCGTGGGCGGTGCAGATGAGCCACTGAGAGGAGGGGGGTTTCCTGCAGGTCATGGTCAAGTGCCGGTTGAGCCTGGTTGGAAGGGACCAATGTCGATGAGGTTTCCCGATGGCACACTGGCCTTGGAAGAACACTCTTAATGCAGCAAATTAAGGAAGCATTCCATGGAAGCAGATCTGGGGGAAACTAATCGGTTTCCCTTCCAGAGTCCCAGTAGTGTTCACAGAGTCAAAGAAAGTTGGAACTTGGCAGTGGGCGCCATGTCGTGGCAGATAAGCAGGGCCCATCCCAACAAGCCGATTTCTTTCTCCCGCGAAACAACTATTCAAATGATGACAGAGTCGGCGATGGAGTTTTGGGCTCTCTGGCGACTTGTAAGGTAGCGACTAAAGAGTGTCTTGGGCAACTTCGTCTCCATCGACCACGAGGCCAGACCAGGGCCAATGTGGGGGGATTTGTCGCTGGGAGTGTTTCTTCGCGCTTCCCGAGAGATTCCAGCCTCCAGAATATGGCCTAGCAGCACATAGTGCAGGGGAACGATGGGATTGGGCGCAACTGTAATTGCCTACCTGTGCCATGACGACACCAGGCTGCGATGAGGCGGGGCAGAAGCTTCCAGGGTTCAAACGGTGAGTGATGGACGCGATGCATCTTTGAAGTCTTGCGCCACGGACGCCGTCTGATCTGTCAAGAATGTCAAGAATGCTAGCTTGGCCTCTCCCGAGGGTTAAAACAATACCTTAACCCATAGCCTCCGCGGGAGTGGTTGCGCGACGATTCGTTTGTCCGTTTCCGCGCCTGCTGCGCAAACCCGGCTCAAACCGCCTCGGGGGCTGCGCGCGCTTTCTCTCACCTCTTCACCTTCTCCTGAACTGTCTTCTCCTCTTGAAATGTGTCCGCGGGGTATCTTTGTCTTTCTCGAAAGCTGACCAGCTGTCCAGGGTGACAAGGATGGGGGGCGGATGACAAGGCCGCCCGGGGATGTCACGGCCTGTCATTGTACTGAGCCACCCACCCTCCCAGCTTCGGATGGCGTGCCGCACCAAATCTGCCTGGTCACAAGGCTGCCTTGCGCCGTGATCCCTAGGTTTCTGGGTACTCTTATGTATTTGTTGGGGAGGAGTGATGTTCTCACTGATGTTGGAAGGACTTGTCGTTTCATGTCTCGCTCGTAGTCAGTAGACTGGCGACTGACGAGCATCTGGTGCTTTTTTCGTGGGGTTGGCTTCCGCGTCGCTGTGGCCAGTGTAAATGACGTAAGAGCGTTGATAGTCATCGCTAGCCCCTCGGCAAGCTTTCGATAGTAGGTAGGCCTGGAGCGAGCATTCGAGTCGCAGGTTGTCGAGATGTATAGGTAAGGTAGGCTGCCTGGATATGGATAGGTACTATCAAAAAGATGAGAAAAAGGCACTTCATTGGGGTTAGATGTACCTTAGGTACTTGCCTTCCATCCTTTGTGCCCTGGTCGAGTCCAAACGCTCTGGAGACTGGATGAATATACATAGTAGTAAGTAGCGTGGGCGGTCGAGGGTCAGAATGTGATGGTGACATGGGACACCCTTCGATAATCCGTGGCTCGCTGCACATTAGTACTGCAATAGCAGTTCCTTTCCCGTCCGCTGACCTTGGCCGGGCCGTCTAAAGTCTTCGCAAGTCGTGGCCTAGGCGGCGGGCACTGACAAGACCGAGCCCAGAAACGAGGTCTGGCTGATCCCGTCCCATCCCTCAATGTTTGGCGCCCTGGTCGGGATGGAAGGGAAAGGCTCAGGGGGATGCCTCAGAATGATCGAGGTCCGAGGAAGCGGACTACCACAGTAGAGTAGAGGAGAGGTTCATAGACTAGGATATGTAGGAAGGTAAGGTAAGGTCGGGAGGCATGGACATTATTACCTGCCCACCTGTCGCCCTGCCCTGATTTTGCTGTTTCTGCTTTGGCAACAGCGCTGTGTGATCCTGCCCGCTGCGCAGCATTGCACTTTCCCATCTCAGCCCAACACCAACTGGACGGCCCACGGGTGACGGACGGGTCGACGGGCTACCCCTCCATCTCTTCGCTTCCACGGTCCCTTGCCGTCCCTCCACCTCCCCTCCATTCTTTCCCCCCTCTCTCCCGTCTTCTCTCGCACCCGAACGCTCTCTCCACTCACTCACCTTTCTCTGTCCTTCTCCCGGGCACTTCCCTCTCACATCACCCACCCTTATTACGTTGGCTGGGCTGGAATCGACTGGATATTCGTCTATTGGTGTGTTCAATAGACAGATTCCCATCCTCTCACCCAACCAAAGGCGATCACAGTCCCACCAGCCTCCTAAATAAAACCAATCTACCACGTACACCCGTAAACCAAACTAGTCACTACTACACATGCACACCATTTAATCCGTGGGCTCCCCTCCGTCATCATCGCACATCCTTTGTTCAAACCCGCCTGCAAATCTATACCATCCAGCCGAACCGTTGTCGCCCGTTTTGACTTTTCTCTGCCGCTTCCCGAAAACAGCGTTGCCCTTCGACGCCTCCATCGCATTTAGCGATGGCTGGAGTTTATAGAGAAACCACTCGGGTTTACCGGGACCCGACTGAGTACTCATCCGATGAAGACCGATTCAAGACCTCCACAGTTCGCCGTTACAAAGTAGCGCCAAACCGAGTCGAGAGGGTCGAGCGCACTGAGCGTGTCGAAGTCGAAGAAGACGACCGCCGGTCACGATACTCAGGCTACCCGTTGCGCACCTCCGGCGAGTATGGCTATGCTCCCGATCGCCCGCGCTCCGCCTTCGACTCCCGGAGTCAGGTTGTTGAGCGCACGGTAACCGAGCGTGAGCGCGAAGTTATTGACCCCTACAGAGGTGACACCCGCAGCGTCGTCTACGAAAAGGAGTACGAACGTGAACGTGAGCGCGCACCCCGCTTCGATGCCGGCCGCTTCGACGATGTTCGCAGCGTCGCCGATAATCGAAGTGTAATCGAAGTCGAGCGCGAGCGCGTTGACTGGGACCGCCGTTCCAATAAGTCTCATCGCCACCACCACCATCACCATTCACCCGAGACAGAAGTCAGAGTCGACAAGCGTGTGGAACGCCGTGAGGATGGAGACGTCACAGTCGAGAAGCGCGTTGAAGAGTACCGGGACGATCATGGCGGGGCAGAGGTCGAGAGATACCGCAAGGAGACCGAGTTCTACTCTCCCGTCAGCCCCCCACCTATCCCCCAACCCGTCATCATTCGTCAGCAAGCCCCGGAGCCCCAGAAGATTATTGTCCAGGAAGCTGCACCACCCGCGCCCATCATCGTACCCCGTCAAGAACCCGGTATCGTCGTCCTGAGAGAGCGCGAGTCCCCTCGCGAGGTTGTCCGTCGCGATCCCCGCGAAGATGAGTACTACTACCGCCGTGAGACAAAGGAGCTTGGCCCGTATCGCCGAGATGAGCGTGAGTACCACTACGACCGACGAGGCCGTGGTCGCGGCGAATACATCAGCGACGACGAGGATTACTACATGAAGCGGACTGTCATCCGCCGAAACCGAAGCTCCAGCTCAGACCATCATCACAAACGCCATCTTGCAGAGGGAGCCCTCGCTGGCGCCGGTATCGCTGCTCTCGCTGCGAGTCGAAGAGACAGCCGCGGTGAGCTTGGTGCCAACCGTGGAAGCAAAGTCCTCGCTGGTGCTGCCATCGGTGGCCTAGGCACTGAAATCATTCGACGGGCTCGTAGCGCGTATGAGGACACCTATCATGACGATCATCACTACGGGTCTCGCTCGAGATCTCGCAGTCGCAGCTCCCGCATCAAGACCGGCCTCGGAATTGCTGCCGCCGCGCTCGCTGTTGCAGGCGCCGCAAAGTATTACCAGAGTGGAAAGATCGAAAAGGAAGAAATGCATCGTGGTCGAAGCCGCGGCAGAGGCTACTCTGTTTCAAGCTACTCTGTATCTAGATCTCGTAGCCGCAGCCGCAAGAGCCGGAAGAGCCGCAGTCGTTCCGTGGCTAAGGCTGCCGCTGCTACGGCTGCCGCCGCGGGTTTGGTCCAGCACTTCCGCAACAAGTCCAAGTCCAAGTCTAGGAGTAGGTCGCGGTCTAAGTCTCGCATCAGGACTGGAGCAGAGATTGCCGCTGCTGGTCTGGCAGGCGGAGTCGCTAGCAAGATTTATAAGAACCGCAAAGAGAAGAAGGACCGCGAGGTAGATCGAGAATTGGAAGAGCAGGACTACGAGGAGGAAGTCCGGCGGGAACGGCGCGAACGTCGTCGGTCGCGCAGCAGGTCCCAGGCCCGCTCTCTATATTCCGAGCCGCGCAGCGCTGATCCTGAGCTAGGCTTAGTTGAGTACGGAACAGAACCGCTGCCGACCGACCCGCCTTACCCGCCGGACGACGGGTATGAGTCTGCAGCGAACGAGAGGCGACGCCGTCGACACCGGCGTATGTCTGGCGATGATTACGACGGCCACGAGCCGGCGAAGAAGAGGAGCAAGAGCCGATTGAGAGACATGGCGGCGGCAGCAGTCGGAACGGGAGCCGCTGCGATTGGACTGAAGCAGTACCAAAAGAAGAAGGAGAAGGAGGAGGAGGAAAGACGAGAGGAGAGGCGAGAAGACAGACGGTCGAGGGAGAGGAGCGCCCGATCCCGCTCCAGAGACCGATCCGTCACACGCGAAAGGACTTACTCAAGAGAACGCGCCTACAGCAGGGAACGCAGCACAGACGACAGGATGAGGAACAGGGAAAGAGAAAGAGACCGCAGGAGTAAGGAGTCCCAATCCGAGCACACGCTAATAAGCCAGTCGAACTGACAGCCATCACAGGATATGAAGAGGATGCTCGGGATGACGGGTACTACGACAACTACAGCCGTCCTCCCTCACCTCCACACGCCTCTGGCGGCTCATTCTACCCGCCACCGCCAGCAGCCGCCGCAGGCTTCACCCAGCATCCCAACATTTCCACGGCCAACCTTAGAGATCAGTATCCGCCGTACCCGTCCTCGGACTCGGTGTACCCTCCGGGACCACCGCCAATGGGGCCATCTCCACCGATGGCCACAGGCGGGGCCGGCGGCTATCCTCCCCCTCCACCTGCTGGTGGTCATCCACCTCCAGGCGGTGGCCCGCCGGGAACGAGATTTGGTCCTGACCATGTGAGTGAAGACATATCTCGTAGCTCCTCACCACAAGCTGTCCAGCCAGCCGGTCTGGGTCGTGAGGGTGGGTTGATCTAATCGTTGTTTCTTTTGTGATATTTCTTCGTTCGTGTCTACATCGGAAGCTGACTTTCAACGCAGATGGTTTAAAGTGGCGAGAGCGTGTCAAAAAGTTTCTCCCCGAGTCACTATCTAGGTCTCGTTCCCAGTCGCAACCGCGATCCCGGTCGCGGTCCTTGTCTCCTACGTCTTCATCGGTGTCAAGCACTTTATCCGCAAAGCGCCCTCACACGGCACAACATTCTTCCTCCAAGTCTGTTGCCTTTACCCTGTCACCCCAATCATCCCAAACCTTGCGGCTGCACCGCTCAGCCCATGAGCAGCAGGCCGAGGAAGAGGCTAGGAAAGCGGAAGAAGTGCCGGACCTCAGCGAAGAGCAACTGGCGACACTGCGGCCTGTCCTCAACCGCAGGCGTTCCTCCTCGGATCCGCCTAGTAGCAAATCGGTCTCCCGTCGCCGCAAGAGGGAAATCGAAACCCCACCAGAATCGGAAGACGAGGTTGAGGTCCTGCCCGACCGCTTTGATACTCAGGGACGACCCGTTGGTGGTGGTGGCACTTCGGGGGCCATGCGATGGAGACAAGGGGCGTTCGAAAGCCGGCCACGAAACGGCAAAGGATTGCATTCAAGCGGGGCATGGGCTGTGGGTGGTACAGATGGCGATGTTGTGCAGAAGATTGCGAGCGACATTGAAGGCGTGATCAGCGGGCAAAGCAGCTGGAAGAGTTTGCTGAAGGATGTGGTGGGAGCGGTTCAGGAAGTGCAACATGGCGGCGACTCGCGTAGGATAGAGAACAGTGACGACGATGATTATGACGACCGACGGAGGAGGCGGAGGAAGAGCAGATGACGATTTATGACCATTTCTTTGGATCTCTTATATGAATTTTGCGACGCCATGGCTTGGCGCTTTTACATTCTACATTCTTGGGACCTAGACACGACATGATGCTACAGATAACGAATTTATGACTCTGGTTCGAGACACTGTTGGTAGATATCAATACATGAGCAGAGTTTAATGATTGCGCTTGGTTGACCGACAATGCCTTCAGTGGTATGAAAATTCAGACAAAAGAGCACGTATTATGTACTTTGATTGGGCCTTTCTATTTCTAGTATCACACAGTTCATCTACGGGGCATCATCTTCTCTCTCTTTTTTTTCTTTCATCATAATTCGTCGTGCACCGGAGGCTTCTCTGGTCGTCCGCTATCCTTATGCAAGTCGACGCCGACCTTGCCCCGCCACTTTTGGAAGACGCTCCAAAACTCCTTTTCCATGCCGCTCTCCATCTGATCGGGCAGCACGACGACGTAGTCGACGTACAGGTTGCCAAACTCCGTCTTGTGGTACACGCTGTCGCCGTCCTCGTGGAAGATGGGCATGCCCTCGCCCTTGACCGTCTCGACGTGGCCCGGCTGCACGACGCCGCCCCGGTCGCGCGAGAGCCGCACGACGTGGCCGTCGAGGTGCGTCACGTTGCGCGTCCAGTCGCCCATCCACGCCTCGCGCAGCGAGAGCACCTCGGTCCAGTAGAGGTCGTTGTCCTTGCGGCGGAAAAAGGTGCCGTCGACGCGGTCCGGGTTGTCCTGCCCGATCTCGGGCTCCTTCTCGGAGAGCGTGACGACGAGGTTGCCGGCGACGTAGTCCGGGCTCGCGTCCGCCTCGTTCTCGTAGACGATCTGGCTGTCGCGCCCCGCGCCGCGGGCGACGGTGAGCTGGACGGTCGTGGGCTTGCGCACGACGCGCGCGCCGCCGCAGGTGTGGCACTTGTGCTTGATCTCCTGGCCCCGTCCGCCGCAGGCGTCGCACTGCATCTGGACCTGCTGGAACATGCCGGGGGCGAGCTGGTGCTTGACGATGCGCACGCCGCGGCCGCCGCAGACGCCGCAGGTGTCTACCTTGCCGTCGGCGGAGCCGGTGCCGTCGCAGTCTTCGCAAATGTGCTGCTTGTCCCACTGGAACTCCGTGTTGATGCCGTTGTAGAAGTCGCGGAGGGAGATGCCGATGCGGACGTTTACGTCTTGGCCGCGGCGCTGGCCGTGGCCGCCAAAGTGGCCGCCGCCGCCAAAGAAGCGGGAGAAGACGTCAAAGGGGTCGTGGCGGTGGCCGCCGCCGTTTTGCTGCTGTTGCTTTAGGCCCTCGTGGCCGTATTGGTCGTAGATTTTGCGGGTTTCGGGGTCGATGAGGGCTTCGTAGGCCTCGGAGACTTCGACGAACTTGTCCTTTGCGCTATCGTCGCCTCTGTTGTCATAGGAATCACCGATTAGCTTTATGCAATGAGTATGGGTAAGGAGGAATAGGAAGATGCATACGGGTTCTTGTCGGGGTGGTATTTCTTGCTCAGCTTGCGATAGGCTGATTTGATCTCACGATCTGAGGCCTTCTTGCTGATGCCTAGGAGATTGTAGTAGTCCTCGGCGCAGAGGGCCAGCTGGACGAGGCATATGAGCAGCAGCACGAGTGCTGCCCCTCGGAGGTACATCGTGGCCCCCCTGTGATGTACTTCGAGATAGGGTACTTTTCTTTCGATGAACTGGGCGCAGAAAGAAATGTTTGTTGCCTCGTGAACCTGTTGGATTTCTCAAGTCCCAAGTGAATGTAAAAAGTCAAGGACTTATCAAAAGAGAAGTCGGGTTGCGAAAGAAAGGAGAGAAAAAGACAGAAGTGAAGTAGGGTATGGAGATAATAGGTAATCGATCCAAAGGAAGCGCGCAAACCAGCTGTCCCAAAATGTAAAGTTCCAACGTGTTAAGAAGGGAGCTACGCAGGTCCGATAAGACATGTTATCCGAAGATAGTCATTGGGCGCTGGCTTCTTTGCAGCTTGTGCCCCACTCTCGTGGCTAAATTGTGTGGGGCCTTCTGAAGTTCAGACGAATGCGCAGAGACACACCAGGCACGTTAACTGCATGAGGCCTCAACCTTCATGACTTGACATCGTCAGGCCTATTCCAGGCTTCTTGTTGATCAACTTCTTTCCGGACTGCCAGGCCGAACCCCGAAACCTTCTTTCCGGACTGCCAGGCCGAACCCCGAAACCTCATAGAAGTTTACATCTCATACGTTTGGGTTGATACATACGACCATGGCATCAAAAAAGTACGCCTTCCTCCCCATGGAGGACGACGAGGTCGGTCCCGCCAAGGTAGTCAAGGACAAGAAGAAGCACAAATCGCGCCATCGCGACCGTTCGAGCGAAAGACACCGGGATCGCGACCGCAGCGATAAACCTTCGAGAAGACGATCACGCTCCAGATCACCGGCCCGACCCTCAAAACAGTACCGCAAACGAGACGCAGACGACGACGACAGGTGGGCGGACGAGGAGCCACCGTCGGAACCCGAGGAAGCGGACGGCAATGACGAGCCCGAGTTCAAAGAGTCTGCGTCGAAGCGGGTAAAGCTTAGCCACGATGATCGCTATCGAGACGCGGACCTGTCGGACGGCGCGAAGGAGGAGCTGGAGCGTCAGCGCGACATTGAGGAGCGCGAGGCCTTTGCGAAGCGGTTACGGGAAAAGGATGACAAGAAGTCAAAGACGGCTGAGAGCCGACGGCCAGAGGTGGATCGCAAGGCGAACATGGAGGATCTCCGCATGAAGAGTCGACAGATGTATCTCGGGAAACGAGAGGCTGAGAAGCTTGCCCTGCTGCGCAAACAGGTCGCTGAAGAGACGGAAGAGTTGAGGAGCGGCGTGAGGCTATCGGAGCGGGAGAAGGCTGAATTCACCAAGAACCGCGAGATTCTACGGCTAGCGGAGGAACGCCTCAAGATTGATGACCACAAGGATGGGTACTACATACCGGAGGACTACATCACGGAGAAGGGCAAAATCGACAAGAAGAGGAAAGAAGATGCGATGTACAAGAGATACGTGGAGAAGGATGAGTACGGGCAAGAAAAGTTCGTCACGGAGCATGAAGAGTGGGAAAGGGAACAGGCCACCAAGGCCAAGGCGCAGATTCAGAGGTCGGAGAGAGAGAACGACGATTACTCCTACGTCATGGACGAGGAGCAGTACATCAAATGGAACTTGGGATCAAGTATGCCTGGGGAGGGCAAGCTGACCAAGGAGCAACAGTTCCTGGCGGCGCAGATCGAGGCAGCAGAGAAGAAGCAGCTCACAATCCAGGAGACGAGGAAGAGCCTGCCCATTTACGCATATCGAGATGACTTTCTCGCGGCGATGGAAAAGTATCAGATTCTGGTTATTGTTGGAGAAACAGGTTCCGGAAAGACGACACAGTTACCGCAATATCTACACGAAGCTGGTTTCACCAAGAACGGAATGAAGGTCGGCTGCACGCAGCCGCGTCGTGTTGCTGCGATGAGTGTCGCTGCCCGTGTGGCAGACGAGGTTGGCGTCAAGGTCGGGCAGGAGGTCGGATACTCGATTCGTTTCGAGGACAACACGAGCGACAAGACGATTCTGAAATACATGACGGACGGCATGTTGCTGAGAGAGTTCATGACTGAACCTGATCTTTCCGGGTACTCAGCTATCATGATTGACGAAGCTCACGAGAGAACTGTCCATACAGATATCTTGCTTGCTCTGGTCAAGGATCTGGCAAGGGAACGGCCAGACTTGAAATTACTGATTTCATCAGCGACGATGAACGCCGAAAAGTTCGCCGCTTATTTCGACGATGCCCCTATTTACAACATCCCCGGACGAAGATACCCAGTTGACATTTACTACACACCAGCACCAGAGGCCAACTACTTAGCAGCCGCCATCACCACAGTCTTCCAAATCCACACAACGCAGGGCAAGGGCGATATCCTTGTCTTCCTCACGGGTCAAGACGAGATCGACGCGGCCGAACAACAAATAGTCGATACGGCGAAAAAGCTGGGAAGTCGCGTCAAGGAGCTTGTTGTCTGTCCAATTTACGCCAACTTGCCATCGGAGTTGCAGGCAAAGATCTTCGAACCGACCCCAGAAGGTGCTCGCAAGGTCGTTCTGGCTACCAACATCGCCGAGACCAGTTTGACAATTGACGGTATCGTCTATGTCATTGACCCCGGCTTTGTCAAGGAGAACGTCTACAACCCCGCCACCGGCATGTCAAACCTCGTCGTGACGCCCTGCTCAAGGGCGTCCGCGAACCAGAGGAGTGGTCGTGCCGGTCGCGTCGGACCCGGAAAGTGCTTCCGCCTCTACACAAAGTTCGCCTACATGAACGAGATGGACGAGTCGCCCATGCCCGAAATTCAGCGCACGAACCTGAACGGCGTCGTCCTCCAGCTCAAGTCGCTAGGCATCAACGAACTCCTTGACTTTGAGTTCATGGACCCGCCGCCGACCGAGGCCCTCATCGGCGCCCTGAACCAGCTCTTTGCCCTCCAGGCCCTCAACCACAAGGGCGAGCTTACCAAGATGGGCCGCCAGATGGCCGAATTCCCCACGGACCCGATGCTCGCCAAGGCCGTCCTCGCCGCCGACAAAGAGGGCTGCGTCGAGGAGGTGCTCTCCGTCGTCTCCATGCTAAGCGAGGCCTCGGCGCTCTTCTTCCGCCCCAAGGACAAGAAGATCCACGCCGACTCGGCGCGCGCCCGCTTCACCGTCAAGGAGGGCGGCGACCACCTGACGCTCCTCAACATCTGGAACCAGTGGGTCGACAGCGACTTCTCGCCCATCTGGTCGCGCGAGAACTTCCTGCAGCAGCGCTCCCTGACGCGGGCGCGCGACGTGCGCGACCAGCTGGCCAAGCTCTGCGAGCGCGTCGAGGTCTCGCCCTCGAGCTGCGGCGCGTCCAACCTGCCGCCCATCAAGCGCGCGTTGACGGCCGGCTTCTTCCCCAACGCGGCGCGCCTGCAGCGCAGCGGCGACAGCTACCGCACCGTCAAGAAGAACGCCACCGTCTACGTGCACCCGTCGTCGGTGCTCATGGGCGTCGACCCGCCGACCAAGATGCTCGTGTATTTCGAGCTCGTGCAGACGACAAAGGAGTACATGCGCAGCTGCATGCCCATCGAGAGCAAGTGGCTCGCCGAGCTGGCGCCGCACTTTTACAAGCAGAAGGACGTGGAGGCCATGGAGGAGAAGAAGATGCCCAAGGCTAGGACTTATGATCGGTAAAGCAGTCGTACTGTGTGTAGAGATTTGGTGGACGGGTTGAAAAGAGGGGGGAGTGGGAGACGTTAAAGGTTGGGTTTATGGAATAAAATGATCAACTTATGATACCGTATAAAGCCATTATCTTACCCAATTGATTATTTGCACTCTATTCACTACCTCATCTCAAGAAAAAAAGAGTCCTGCGTACATATCTTGATAATTAGCATGAGAAGAAACGTGGGTTTATAGTGAATCATGACATGGTACTAAAAAAGCGACGAAAAAAAAAACTTGGTCTTGCACATGCGAGATCAATTACGAAATGCCAAATCTGAGCCGTTGCCAACCGACCTAGAAGAAGATGAAAAAGACAGACTGTACAGTATGTGATCCCCACCCTCATGACAGCCCGACCTACGGCTGAGCTAACTCCTCACGATCCCAGAACTCTACCTAGGTGTCCGAAGAAATAATTGAGAAAATTTCCTTCGGCGACACGTGGACTACCTCAGCCGTTGGCGCTAACTTGTTCATTCGGACGGTTTAGTACGCTATCAGGATACCGAACGGCCCTCACACTCAACGTACACCAATGACATGTGTTGGGCTACTTCACTTGCAAAATTTCGTTTTCACAAAGTCATCTCACATCAGTCTGTATTCTCGCCATCTGGAATTCTGCGTACGTCCTTGTGAAGAACATGATGATACAGCTGCAACAGAAAGGCATAAATCGCTGGGCGTAGGAGTAGGCCGATGGGGACGGAAGATGTTCCCGATTCGAAAGGAAACTACCAATCACGCACATGCCACACGTATAGCGCTCGTCAGATTGCGATAAGCACATGATATCAATATTTATCTTGCTTTGCCCAACTCCAAAATCGAAGCCTATCGAGGTAGAAGAAAAACGCATGTGAAGAGAAGAAAAACACGTTTCCCTCCCTCTCTAATTCGATGAGCTAGCCTCCATCAACGAGTGCTGGCCCAATCTTCAGCATTTGAATAGAAGAAAAAAACGACAAAAAATCAGTGGTGAAAAGAAAAAGTGTCATAGAACGTCCACTTTGGTATCAATGGTTTCTCCGGTTTGCCTCCGACTCCGTAACGTAAATTTGTTTTGTTTTCGCTTCAATTTTCATCAAACGTCCCGTCATGGTCTTCTCCTTAACGTGATGGCCCCTCGATCGGGCTCGTGGGCAAGCTGCGGACCCCGCTGAGATCCGTGCTTCCCGTGCGCCTGAGCGCTTGCGACATCGTCTCAATGTTGAGCTCGCCGCTCATGTTGAGGTTGTGATGGGACGAAATTGGGCTGCCAAGAGATTTGCGTCCGGGGGACATTTCCAGTCCCTTCACAGACGCGGGGTTGCTTGTTGGCGGCGAGGTGCCCGGTCCCTGAGAAGAGACTGGTGATCGGATGGGTGAGGGCGAGCGGGCGTTGATGGACGAGAGGGACGTCAGCCCAGCGACATGAATGGAGTCACGAGAACCTGCTGCGCCGCCGTGGCCGCCCTGCTCGGCCTGCACGACGTCGGCAAAAGAGATGAAGCTCAGCCTGCGCACGTCGGCATTATCGAGCGCATTGTAGTTGGAAGCGTCTTCGCGATCCGCAAATGCACGGAGCTCATCGGTCCATGATGCAGTCATAGAATCGGGAGGGTGAGGTGTACCGTTTCCGTTGGCGCCGGTGACAGCTGCTGCAGCTGGTTGATGCTGAGAGTGGGTGACAATCTCGACGCTGTTCGGATCAAGGTGGTCGTTTGTGATGGCTTCGGATGATGCGTCCAACACGGGAGGGATATGGTTCTCGGTCTGAATATGCGACGGAATGGCAGGCGATTGAGGCTTAATTGACATGTTGTCGACATCTCGCTCGAAGATCTGGGAGCCCGCCGGGGATGGCACTCGCGGGGACGTAGACATTCCACGGCTTGGCGATGAAGGGTGCACGTAAGGCGATGTCGTAGACCGAGCTGAAGCTCTAGAGGTATCCCGTGTCAAGTAGGGGTTGCTGGTGACGGTCGCTGCAGGTTTGGCAGACGACGAAGACTTGTTGGAGACATTTGACTCTTCCTTCTTTTTGCCGAGTCCGAACAATCCGCGCACCTTGTTCTTCACGTCCTTCTTCGTGTTGTCCGATTGGGGCTCATTGTGGCTCGAGGCGCGGGGCGTCGCATCGCCGCTTGTGGTGCCAGCCATATTGTGAGCGACGACGGCGGGGTGCTGTACGATCGTCTCGGCGATGTTGTTGGGGTTTGCCTCGACTAGGCTCATCTTGATACAGGGTTGTTCGAGTCAGCGGTGTTGGTGGTTTTGGTGTCTAAGAGGTGGGATGCAGGTGGATTTGCTGACACAATGGTATAGGGTGGTTTCTGTGGGAAAAGGGACCAAGAGTTAATGGAATGTCTCTCTTCAACAAGCAGGGACCCCGAGGTTGGCGTGATGTTATGTAGGCCCCGAGGAAAGAGAGGGGGGAAGGGACGTGGATAAACGAAGTCTGGGAAAACAGGTGGTGGGGGGACAAATAGATTGGCTTTTGGTGACCCTGTGACCCTGACGTATATTCCCGCGATTCGCCCTTTTGGGGTCACTGCAAGGGAAGGGGAAAGTGGAAGGGGGTGCAAGTGTGCGAGTGCGGTGATTGATTGTCATAGGAGCGTCCAGTCGGCGAGGCAGAAAAAAAAAGAGCAGCGCATCGGCAGCAGCAAGCAAGCAATACATGCGCACGCCGTCCGCAGCAGGTAACAGCGCCGCCGCCGGAGACACCCCCGGCCAAGACAACCAAGATGTTCTTTTTTTACCTGAACGGTACAGAGGGTAGGTACATGGATGGGGTTGGGTATGGGTTTGGGGGTGGTGGACATGGGATATCCGAAGGGTGGGATAATAGTATCGAGATGTACATACCAGAACGATTCAATAGTAGAGCAGCGCAACACCAAGGGGGAAGAGCCGAGAATGTGCGCAGTTCCCCTGCGTGCAGAACTTGGGGAATGGAAGCGGACTAGCCGTTGAGACTCGTGAGCGATGGAGAAATGGGATGATGTACACGGAACGGCGTTGGTCTTTTTTGGATTGATGGCGTTGTTGGAGGAGACGGCAGTCAGGTGTCTGTCTTCGCAGTCCGTCTTAGTCTTGGTCCCTTTTAGGATCGTCTGCCGCTTTGCTGTGTCACTTTTTGACTGTGTCTCTTAGTCGAAGGCGACGAAGAGACAAGTAGGAAGAGGGGTGACCGAATCGCTTCTCTGCCGTGGGCACGCAGACCACGAAATGCAGCCAGTAGTCTCGTTCGAAAATTGGCGCTCGATAAAGACGGCCTCGAGAAGCGGTCCCTGATTGACGAGCGAGGATTTAGGAAGCTGGGGGGAGAGAGAAAGGCGGGAGCGTGTGACGCAACAGGTCCAGAGGATGAGCAAGCGGATTGGCGGTTTCCTGATGATTTGACCCCTGCTGCAGGAGCCTTGTGGTGCTGATCTGTAAGAGAGGCCCAGGCCTGGGTCTGCTGTGCCTTGCTTGTGGTTGTTGGAGACCTGGAGATGCTCCGTAAGAGATGAGTTCGGTTGGATGAGGTAGGCGGGTTGGTCCCGTTATTTGGTGGATAAGATGGATTGCTTTTCTGGTCTCCGGTGAGGCGGATTGCGGGTGCGGTGCTGGTACAGTAGATGCGGGCAAGGCGGTGGACGTCTGTCTGGTGAAGTGGTATCGAGAATGCTGGATGCAGCAGATGCTACAATAAGATACGGGTATACAGATTCATTCGGGCATGGAAGCGTCAGGAAATGTCAATTTAGGAGCGAAAGGAAAGAAAAGGATGGGGAAGGGGCAGTTATTATCGCCTGTCAGGAGCAGCTTTCGCGTCGCTTCTCGGCAGTCAGCGGATCATGTTTTTTCGGTCCATTTACATATACTACGCTCTACGGAGTACCTAAGGTAAGGTGAGGAAGGTAAGTATGGATATGTTACGGGATACTTTGGTTTCCCTTCCTTTCCTCGCTCTCGCGCAGGTTCCTGATTGCTTCCTGCCCAACGCTGCTCCGTCAGCTAAGAGAAACTAAAACGTTCCCACCAAACGATCAAAGGGGAACAGTCAACCGTCAGTCACCCGTCCACAACGCCCACTTAGTACTGCGTCCCTAGGTACGAATACCTCAGCAGCTTACCTATGAAAAAAGGGGTGTCCCCGTCACGTTCCCACGTCGCAACGTACCCGACGTCTACGTCGCCCGTCGCCAGCCCCGTATCTCCCAACGTTGTTTAGAGTTTTTGCATTGACGTGATGCCGCGCCGAAGGAAGTTGCTGCGGGTGACATGTCTGGCCCCCCTTCCTTCTCCCTTCCGTCACCACTCACCACTCACCACTACCTACTGCCTTGGTATACCTCGCAGCAAGTACCGTTGACTGCACGGGTTTCTACCCAAGCATTTACCCAAGTATCTACCCACTATATCTTGTAAGGCGAGATACTGCGAGCCTCACTATGTATTTGCATTGTTCCTTACCTCACTCTGTTACTTCCGTGCCGCTTATCCAGAATGACCATGACAAACCATCACAGCCCAAGACACCCAGGAGAAGCCTTAGCAGAGAGCCCGATATCTCCAAAGGCGAACCGGACGCGATCTCATCTCGCCTCTCATCTTTGTCACCGACAGTAGTGTAGCTCAGGCACCGCGTCACGTCTTCTCCAAATTGTCCCCCCTAAGCTTTCTTGGTTTAGGCCCAGGTCAAGAAAAGAAATCCTCCGCTAGCCCCCCCGTTGACTTCCGCAGCCTCCGATGGCCCCTCAACCGGCGTCAGGGGGAATCTGACTAGGCATACATTTTGTATGGTTTATCATGCTGCACTTGTCGAAACTCTGTCCGGACACATCCCCGTTGGCCTTGGGGAGGACTGTTGAATGCCCTTTCCCCCTTCATCTGCGGACTGTGCGACCGCGAACCGATCGGCGGCCGTAAAATCGCATCTTACATACAGTCGGTTAGTCGCACAAGCGACGACAGCGATGAATGGATACGCGGGGAAACGAAGACGACCGTCGACCATGAGCGGTCGCCCGGCGTTCCTCTGGCGTGTCTCGAGTTCCAATTGGGATTACATCGGCTGACTGTCCGTGTGTTTCGTCCGTCCGTATCCAATATGTAATCTGTTTGGGACGCCCGACTAAAGTTCTCGTAGCTTTCTTTTCTTTTGCTCTTCCAAGGTCTAACTGGATATCACCATTAATCTCACACGCGTCCTACAGGAGCTCATTTCCCTGTGCCCTCCTGACCTGAAGGGGCTGAAATGTCGAATGCGACCCGTTGACTTTCTTGTCGTCTTCCAAGTTACCCGATTCGGACGCATCGCCAAGTCTTCCCTTCTCCCTTTAGTCAACTTTCGGTAGCCGTAGGGACAGCTCAGCCTAGTCTCGACCCTGGACCCCTTCTCTTTCACAATGCAGCACGCAGTAGTGACTAGAGATTCGATGTCTGAGACCCCTCAACGACAACTTTTTTTGGTCTCGGTTTCTGTCGGGGCGTTGTTCACTGAGTTGAACCCCCGTTATGATCCCCATCATCAGTCAATCCCCAGTCCGCATTATCGTGTACGATAAGTCGGCGACTGCGGAATAGTAGCTCCATCCCTGAGTTTATTATAGCAGAGTCAGTTGACTCGCGTATTTCTCTTAAAGTGTTCCCAGCGTCACAGCCCATGAACCTCTCGGAGATTCCCCCCGTCTGAAGTAAAGCTACTCAACGACCACCGAACCCCTAGTACCCTTGTCTCTCGGTCTCTCTTGTGTCTCTGGCTTCTCTGCTCTTGTATCCGAAAACGCTGACCACTCTACATCCTTGATGAGGGTTTGTTTGATAGCTGGTGGAACATGGCCGAAGAAACGACAAGGATCGCCCCTCTTCCCTGTTCAGACGAAAAAGTCGGGACTCGGGAAGCATGCAACAGAGAGGCGTCAGAAGACACCTAGGTTCTGGCGTTCTTGGTTCTGGCTTCTGCCAACATTGAGCTGTTCACGCCCCCAAAAAGTTCTTTTCGTTCCCTGTTTTTGGCTTCAAACTGATCCCCCATCCAACACTCTCTCCACCCTCCCACGTCGTCAGCCTCGGTCGCGGCCTTCTTTCTTCTTTGACATGTTTTTTCCCCACGGACTCTGCATCAGTGGTCTCCATCACATCTGAGGGGTTTAGAAGGAAGCATTAAGCTCGCAGGAGTACCCAGTCACCGAACCCGTTACTGGGCCAGCCCGTAGGCGCTCGCGATTTATTCCCTCAGAAAGAAGAGATCTTCCAAAAAGCGGTCATGACAAAGTAGAAAAGATGCCAAAACCGCACAGTAAAAAGACTCCTCTTCTGCCGCCTCGTTCTCACTTACCGCTCACTACTCAGCACCAAGGACCCCTCTTTGCCTTCTGCACTGCCTGTACTCTGTAGACCCTCTTGCGCCGGCAAGGCACGAATCCCTGCGTAAATCGGGCTTCCCGCCTCGCTTTACACTTGGTCCCTGGAAAACCCAGGCCCCATGGAAAGCACGTCACTGCCAATTCTGCATAAACAACACCAATGCGTAGAATGGTAGTAGAATCTTTCCAACAGCTTCTGATGGGAAATATGTCTACACGTGCTATTGCGGAAAATAACGCATTGCAATGATGCCTTCTTTCTCTTGGTATTTCTTGGGAAAAACACTACTCCACGTAACCACCTCCCTTGGCGCATCAGATGCTCTCAACAGGGCACGAGGAAACTATAGCAAAAGCCGACGGGAGCAACACCGTTGCCGCGGCGCGGTTGCGAGATGCTTTCCCCGAAACCACAAAGTTGTCATTCTTGTTTTGTTTGCGTTTAACCTTCCTTCTTGCTCTTTTCGCCTTTTCTACCTTTCACTGGAGCAACCGACAGCGAGGATCGGGGGAGGTAACGCGGAAGGTAAAGGGGCGCCCCCGGAAGCTTCGCAGACGTCACCGGCGACGCTGCGCTGGCAGACAAAGCCAAGGAAACCTTGATCCAATCAGTTCCACTTTCTCGGACCAGCCCGTTTTCCTTGGTGTCTCCAACTTTCCATCCTCCGTTGAGTGCTTGACACGTGATATGTCATGTGATACTATCGATAAGAGCGAAGGCCAACTTGCACTGAATGCCTGAGGCGTGACTGGGGAACGCAAGGCGACAGCAACTTACTTACCTAATCATTGGAGCGTCCCTTTTGGGACAGCTCGCTCCACATGCTGTATTACCTAAGCCAAATTTCCAATCGGCTGTTCGAAAAACTTCAGATCATCGCCTCAGGGTCTCCCGAACAGCATCGCGAAACAGCTTCCCCCGTAGCACGCGACCAACTCATCAAAGCCTTCCCCCCCAGCGCCGCAGTCGACCCGTCCGAGACTCGCGCCGAAGCGACGCTGGCCGTGCTGTCACACACTCTCTCAAGAAAACCATTCAATTGGCCATCTCAAGCTCCTCCTAACCGGCGTCCTCGAAAAAAGTGAACGAGAGAGACCACAGCTACGGAACACGGAACTCTTCCCAAGCTTCATCATCACAACCTACAACCGACAATGGAGGCCAGGACATTGACAAGACCAGCCGCCACGCTGGCATCCCTCCTCCGCCAACAAGCAACCACCACCACCACCGCCGTCCCCCGAAGAGGCCACAAGACCTTCTCCCGCACAAAGCGCGCCCTCAACATCCCTCCCCACCCCGACTTCCTCCCCTCGACCCCATCCGCCGGCGACACAATCATCTACAACCCGCCCTCCGCCGCCCCCTCCGTCTACCACACCCCCTTCAAGTTCCTGCCCGCCTCCGACCCCCGCCGCCGCGCAAACCTCTCCGCCCTCTTCGCCTCCGCCTCCTCACAAGCAACATCCTCATCAAAATCAACAACACCCCTCCCCCCGGCCCTCAACGTCCCCTCCCGCGGCGCCAACCCGCGCTACCACCTCTCCAAGGACGACGTCGCCGAGATCCGCAAGCTCCGCGCCCAAGACCCGGACTTCTGGTCCGTCTCGGCCCTCGCGCGCAAGTTCGACTGCTCCGAGACCTTCATCACCATCTGCACGCCCGCCCCGCGGGAGCACACGCAGAAGCTCGCGCAGAAGCTCGAGGCCGTCAAGAGTCGCTGGGGTGGTATCCGCACAAAGGCCCGCGAGGACCGCTCGCGCAGAAAGGAGATGCTCTTCCGGGGTGAGCTGTAAAAGAAGACGGACGCAAAAAAACCGAAACGAATTCTTACTCGGGGAAGGGTAAAAGCTGGATTGCTTGGCAACTTGGGACGCCTGAGTCTGTTATTGTACTTTTGGCGATGAGATGAGAAGCATTGAGGGGAAGACCTGCTGTTCCGAGGCCTCTGCGTGGGAAAGCTGGGGCTCTCTGTACCACCAAGGGATGAAAAGGGGGGAAGGCGGCCCAAGGAGGGGCGAGACGTATGGCACATTTATTCTCTGTACCATCAAACCATTAGGGGCGTGTCACAAAATCGGCTGGGAGACATGTAGGATAGAGGCAGGTCACGATACGCGGAGACCGAAAAAACTCCCAAACAATCTGTACAATGAAAGAGAGATAAAAAAGATCAGGGGCCATAGAAACTCGTGTATAATTCTTCTACCAACTTTCGCTATCACACGGCATGAATCACTGGATGCTAGACGTCTTTAAACCTTGACTACCCCATATGGCTCATCTCTTTCTCTCACACCTGGCTTGGCTGTTCCACTTGGCTCACAATAAGCCACACTCAGACTCCAGTTGACATGAGGCCTAAAAAGAGTTCTCCACCGGCGTAGCTACATTTTTGGTGCTGAAGCTGGAATTCGAAATCGGGCACTCGCTCAGCCTGTCGTCAAGTAAGGCTGGTAGGCGAATCAATTGATTGTTTGCCATTAACCACTCCACCTTCCAGCCACCTTGTCCCGAGCCCCCGACCCAGAGGGGCGCCTGCTTGTGCTGGTGACGAGAAATGACTTGACGAGACCTATATATAGCTTCTTATGTCGATATTTCATGCGTATTCATGTGGAATTAACGGCAGGTTGGCACTATCAAACTTTTTCTATCCATCTTCTACCCGGCAGCTATTTAGCTTGCCGTCTCAGTACAAGGTCGAGTCCATTCCTGCGTCGAGGCAGATTCCCCGATGGTGATCCCTAACTACCTTTTCACGAATTAAGAGTTGTCATCAAATCATTAAAAAGCAAACATCCCGAAAGAAAGGCCAGCCCTCAAAGCTGACGCATCGTAACGCCCGCCTTGTTCAAATCAGCCTCACCGGGAATGACTCTATAGCACCAGCCACACCAACTCCGCCTGATGCCCTTCACCTCTCTTCCGAGGATGTTGTGATGGCTCTTCTCGTCGTCCCACTCGGGCACGCACGCACCGACTCTCACCATGCGGACTAATTTGGTCTTCACGACGCCTCCAATCCCCTCAATCTCGTGCCTCTCGTACCCGGGGCCGAGCTGGGGACTCGGTGTGCGCTCATATCGCACAGTGTCGAGGTGTACCTGGTCCGTGGCCGTCCACAGGTTCGCGCCGGTGACGGCCGCGTCCTCGGCATCACAATCCGTCTCATTCTCACGCTCCTTAGCGCCGGCGCAAGCGGTCTCGCGACCGCAGATGACGCCGCGGTCGCCCTCGCCGATGCCCGTTCCCAGGCCGCCGAGGACTTCTCCATAGTGAGCCCGCCATTTCCAGATACTATGGCGGAGGGTGAACATTAGCAAGAACAGGCCTTGTGAATCTTCAGCATAGTGAGAAAGGAAGGAGTCTCATACCGCTGGTAGTCGTGATCGGCCCCGCGCATGCTCCGCCCACAGGGCTGACACAGCCAGACGCCTTCGACGTCGCATCGGCAAATCTCTCGTCTCACGGCATCGTCGAGCAGAGGTGTTTCTGGCTCTAGCGCGTGATTGACGAAAGTTGCGATGGGGGCCTTGGTACAACATTGGCACAGCCTACGATGACGCTCGCGGAGAGCGTTGGAGGCTGGCGGCTTGATAGCGCAGTTCTGTTTATAAGTGTCAGCAATCAATTTTACTTGGCAAGCTCTCTATCCTCCCCGGGCCATTGCCTCAAATGCTCTTGGTACCCCTTCCCACCCTTTCACGCCTGTAAGGGAATCGCTTCTCGGTGGGATGGGGCCAAGAGCATATGGCAAGGCATAGGACGGCATACCCTGCACACGACGGTCTTGCACCTCCTACACTCCGTCACCAGGTCTCGGGCACAGCTGCCGCTCTTGCCGTTGTAGTTCCGGCCATCTTCCATGTAATACCAGTTGCCGGCTCTCGCACGAAAGCGGAACGTGGACTCTGGGTCGACGGGGACGGCCTCATTGGAGCAGTGCAGCGTCGAAGAGAGGAGGATGGAGCGGTATTGCAGCAGACCCTGGCGGACCTGGCGCGAGGTGCGGGCGAGACTGTCGAGGGTGTTGAGATCGATGTGTTCAGCTATTGACATGACGATGCTGCGGGAAAGGAGGGTACGGTGTCAGTCGTGGTATTCTACAGCTACATGCGCGTGATACGGGGGGAGAGTAAACGGAGCTTACGGATAGCAGCCAAAAGCCTCAGTAGCAGCACTCTGAAATGTCGGTGTTGGCTCTGGTACGGGAGCCGGTGTCACCAACGGGGCCGGGCCAATCGCCGGCTTCTCAAGCATGTGCTCGAGCTCGCGACTGCTTGAATCCAATGCATCAGTCGCGACAGCAGCGGCAGTTGCCAGGCGGCGTGCCTCGAGAACGTGAAGGGGCTCCATGTCCTCGTCGTCTAGATCAACAAAGACGACCATGGTGGGCAGGGCCGTCGCGTAGGCGGGCAAGGGATCTATATGATTGAATTCGACCGTCAAGCAAAAAAGCTCAAGCTTGCGTCGCCGCCGATCTTGACTCGGTTCCTGAGACCCGAGCCGAGCTGAGCTGTGGTGATGGATGGGCGGGGTGGGGTTGGAGAATCCCCCGATGCCGCAGCTTTGGCTTCGTTCCTGACCGGGGGGGCCAGAGGATGGATGACGCAAGGTAGATCTCGGTAGATCTTGTGGATACAAAACGGAGAAGACGGTGCAAGCAAGCAGGAACTGATCAAGATTAGTGAATGGAAGGAAAACTAAACAATAAGAACGTCGGTTCTCGGTTCCATCGCAAGTTGACGATGTCAAAGAGATGGCACCGAAACGGCAGGTGATGGAAGGATGATGTTGGACACTGCCAGGGGTGGGGGGTTGAGGATGGGGATGGGGAATGGGAGGGTCACAGACATTGGCCCAGCTGGGAAGGTCTGCGCCAGATGAGATCAGCACAGTCAGGCACAGGACCTCGGATGGAAGAACACCTGAGCCACGCTTCCACTTTCGTCACCAAAGCGCACAACGACGACTACCTACAGCACCAAGCCTATTCAGATTCACAAAAGCCATGCTCGAAATGAAAGCCGCAAACCATCGATTGACTATCATCGCCGTATAATTCACAGCTGAATGTACAAGTGTCGCCCAAGCAGGAATGAAGCACATGCGGACTTCACAGTTCGCACTATCCGTGACGCCGTCGACGGTCGCGTTAGCTCGAGCGCGCTGTGGCTCTGGTCACAAGGAAGCTTCAGCACTGGTCGAAGCGCATACTGTGCCCTTTGGAAACGTCTAACGCGCAGATTGCGTGCTGCCCACCCACTTGGCGGCGGGGCATCCCCCGAAATCCGGAAGCCGATACCCCACACCGAGCGCTCGACTACCGAGCCCGTCTTCGGCGATGATCACCCCTTCAAATTCTTTTAGCTAATATTACCGATATTCCGAGAGGAATAGTCTGCGAGATGGGCTAACGTATTCATTGATCTCAATGAAGTTTTCGTCCTGTCACCTGCGTCTTCTTTCTGGGGTTAACTCTATTTCGACTCCTTTTACCACAATTACCCGGCCCGGTTCTGGCTCCGAGCTTTCGCGGAGCTCCGGCCCGAGCGCATTCACCGGGCCGGTGATATGTCTCCACTCGCGACCGCAATTTATAGGGAACCGACACGGAAGACGACTCCGATCGCGACCGCCTGGCAGCTTTACAGGCCCCGGAAATCCTCTGAGCAGAGCTTTTCTCACTCCTCCCTAATATTCTACGAATGTTAGAGATGGCGCAGACAATCTGGCTGCACCATCTCACAGGTCAGATACTACAAGCACCGCACCCAATCACTGCGCGTCAAAACTGTAGAACGTTTTCACGCCGGAGGTTGGCATATTGAACATCGAACGACAAATCCGGCCTTTATACTTGTTCTCGGGGTCGTTCATCAGGTCGATGACGATAACATTTCTGTGCTGGGTCCTGGTGAGTTTGGCTGGTAATTCGTCGGTGGTGTATTCAGACTTTTGACCCCGTGGTCCAATCCTTATGCTGCTATTAGCAAGTCTCCATTGTCTCATCCTTACTTGTTTTGTACTTTCATTGGAACAACATGTGAGGATTTATATTGGTCAGTGTGTGGTACAGTCACTTGAAATACTGCAAGTGCTTGGAGTGCATCAATATTGCTCCAAGATGTCGAAGGCAGACTCGAATGTTGAATCAACTAATAAACCCAATTCCTACTTTGTATCCAAGTTTGGGCTGACATCTTGACGAGTATCATCAGTTGACTGCCGGGTGTGGTGATGGATCTAACAAAACATGGATCAAAGGTGGGGAGATGTCAAGTCTTGAAATGCCTCAGTTTAGAAACTTTGGTTAGTGAGCACAGCTGTTTGGTGAGAGGTCCTCTTTGACAGCAGGCTTCGGCAGCAGATCTGTTGACAGCGAGTATATCTGTAGTAGTCAGCGGTTAAATCGGCCGGCCACTGTACATTAAGCATTCAGCAGGTTTCAGTGTTTCCTATAACATGATATTGCCAAGTCCAGTCAAACCTGCTCAGAATCTTGACGGAATGCTCAACACTAGCAGAGCCACAATCTAAGCCTCAAGACGGCACATCAAAGGTCTCGAGGGGGTGTGCAAACAACCCAAGATCGATGATGCAATGCCGGTTGGCTGTGCTTCTTCCAAAAGAAAAAACACCTCACCAAGAAAAACAGGTGCGGAGGTTCCAGACTCGATCATCAGAGGGCGCAGCAGCACAACCCCGGCTCTCACATTCATGCCGGACTTTCGACGGCAGGTTCAGGCTCCTTAGTCTCGCAGATGATCTGCGAACGGGAGGCAGTATCCCTGATTCAGGGTGCGGTGGCGTACACAGGGCTGACGACCCTGACCAGAAGGTCGGTTTCATGGTCTAGACGCATTCTTGTGTTGCTATATCTGACGGTGGCGGTTGCAGAATGGGGGGTTGGGGTTAGGGCGTTACCACCCGCCTCCGCCGCTCCGGAGAGAGCGGGCGACCGAAGACATTCTGGAGGCGGCGTTTTCATCCTCATGATGGCTGAGCTAGTGTCTCTCGCACTCTGGATCTCTTGCTGTCTCTCGCTGGGACTACCAGGCCTGGATGAAGCATAGCTTGTCAGAGGACTCGCCGTGGGTTCATCCTGAGCACAATCGACAGCCTCTTCCCTTGATGATGCTCGATCTAGTGCCGTTCCCGCTGCGCGCCTTGCGAGGCAGGACCCGTTTTGATCAGGTCTGGCGGGATGTCCTCGGGGCATCTAGTAGAGTCAATGACTCTAGTGACAGCCTGACAGACGAAATCCTTGCTCGCGAAGACCTTGACTAGCCAAGAAAGAGAGAGTGAATATCCACAATGGCCCGCTCGCCAAGGATAGCCGTTCACCGTCAGAGTTGCATTAGAGCGAACAGGGCGATTCATCATCGATCCGCCGAGCTAGACTGCTAGTGTAGAGACAGAGGCCAAGAAGTCAGATTCGTAGTCGAAATATCGCGGAGGCCGAGACGAGTCTATACCGCAGAGTGAACTGGTGGCTCAATCTGGGATGATGCTACAAGAACGGTCTCATCCAAAGACGTGTGTGGCCCCTCTGCAATTTTAAACAATCAAGAGTCTTGTTAGGGTAGCCAGGGGACCAGATGGAGGGGAAAGACCACCGAGACCGAGAAAAGGATGCGGCGGCGGAGGAGGAGGAGTAGGGGGACCAGCCAGTGATCTCCCGCATGGGTCGCACAAGCCAGGCCTTATTCATGGTTTGACGTGTGCGCGGGATCGACGAGCGGACCATGGTGATCAGCACAAAATATGCGAGTGAGCGAGGGCCGGCGGGCGGACGAACCACGGTAGTGGTGATGCATTGAAGGTTGCAGTGAAGAATCTCCGAAGGCTGTCGTGAGTTGACTGCCCGGGGGGAGGATGGGTCTGAGAGCTATAATAGATGCGACTCTGCTCTGCTATTCATCTGTCGGCACATGCGAGGGAGGCTCCCAACGCTCCCCGTTCTGTGGTTGTCGTTATGTCATCGGGCCAAAGGTTGACAGGCGATGGGTTGGGAAGGGGGCGGTGGAAGGCTGTAAGTCAAGAGAAAGAGAGTGATCCACAGTCGTCCCAAGTCTGCACGAAAGAAGCCTCCTGTAATTAGCCTTCGTGAAACCAGAGCAGGGGTGCCAGGTCCGGGGCGTTGGACGACATGACATCAGATGGAAGAATCGGGTGTGTGTGTGGGTGTAGTTCATGAGGGAAAAAGAAGGGAAGAGGCGTGCGGTCAAACAATCAGGAGAGACCGACTGCACGTGATCTGGGGTCCTTTTCGTGAAAACAATGAGAATCAGTATTCTGTAGGCGTCTAGTACTAATTGAACGAGGGGTGAAGCCTGCAGGTATGGTAGGGGTGAAGTTGATGGAGGGTGGAAACACTATGAAAGTTGATTGGATGGGTGGAGAATCCGCAGAGTCCAGAAGCCCTGGACTTGGAATCACTGGGAACATCTGGTCAGGGACAACATGAGAAGCGACATTCTACGGATCAAAATCAGGTACCCGTTGGATATACTCCGTACTACAGTACCTTAGTACAGAAAGGGGAGTTGGGACGAGGCTGAGTCCTTCCCCTTTGGAAAATCAGCTGAAACAGGAACAACCAGGTCAGGGGCCTTGACCGTGTTTGGGATGAAGTTGGCGTGGATGCCACTGGAGAAAGGCGCTGGCATCTTCAAACGGCCAAGTGGGACGCAGCCGCAACATTATATAAGCAGAACTGTGCAGAACTGCACATTGGCCCCTCCCGATTGGCTGTAATTCTCCGATGACCACGGCGGCCAGGTCCGATTGATCCTCGACCCCCCGCGAAAATCATGCGCTATCGCTGCCATCCCTTCCTCCCCCGACCCCCGTTCCTCCCGATTGCCCCGATTCTACCCCCGGCCCTTCCTAGCGCCGCTCCCAACTCCATCCCATCCAACGTCCCCCTTCTTCTGGGCACTCAAAGTGAACCTCAACTTCCTCCACCAACTTGCCCCTGAGCCTCCATCCAACATCTCCTTTCACCAAGCTGGTTCCCTGGACCGATCAAGCGAGCAATTCTTCTTTTCAAGCTTGATGCTATTGGATCAGAACATCGGACGGCGAGCAGATTTCGATATTGCCTGCTTCTATTCCTCCTCCCCATCCCCCCTTACGGAGAACACCCCTGAGCGAGAAGAAGTTTTTGCGCTCGAGAACCACTCCCTGAACCCGACTTCCCATCTCCTTTACTCTGCCCACTGTTTCCATCACTTCAAGCTGGGGGTTTCCTTCCTTGTTTGGATGTTTAGAAATTCGAAATGTTGTCGTTTTGAGTGGGCCGAAGAGACACGGCTCGGAGAAAAACGAAAGACGGCAGGACAGAAACGGGCACTTGTAGATCACCAGAGAACTAACGGGAGATCATTCTTGCTCCTGGACATTACGCACATCATCAAGAACGGTACGACATCATCAAGTGATGAAGATTTGGATCTACACATACCGTTGCATTCTCGAACAACATCTCCTCATCTTCTCATGTTCCCATAAACTTAGTTATTGAGCTCCGCTCTTCCATCACCGCTTCTGCACAGAAGACGCGCACGCCTTAATAGTGTTAAGGTGTGATATAGGCTGTAACCTTCGGCCGAATCATCCTAATATGCACATCACCTCCGCCCAGAGCCCACAGACGTCGACGTCTAACCCCCGGCTATCCCACTCGCTATCACCCGTCATCCCGGTATGGCATCACGGCCTTTCACATCGCTTCTTAGCAAACGTCCACCGCCGCCCAGCCCCGTCCACCTACGAGATACTCCTCCCAGGCTGTCCAAGCATGTTGGTGATCCTCCACAGGGCAAATACTCCGCGGGCAAATACTCCATTCGCACCCCCCGGCCAAGAGCCGTCCTCCACTCCCCTCCACCCCGCGGGCCTGCCCCTCTCTTGGAATCGTAAACACCAGACGACGGTTAAGCTCATCCCCCTACCCTAGCCCCGCAGACAACCCGCTCTTCGACCGAACGTCTCACGATGTCTAACCCAAAGCGATGGCGAAGCCGTACTACCGTCAGGCTAGCTCCAGTCTGGTTCAGGAGGCGTAGGTGAGGTGAGGTATCCGTACTGGATAACCCGATCTTTGGCAGTTCGAGAGCGACCCTGGTCCCCGGGAAGGAGGAGCAAGCATCCATCTGGACTAACATGGGCTTTTGGGAGGTCGAAGGCGGGAGGCAAGAGGCAAGAAAGAACGTTTAAAGAAGGCCTCGTTTCCCGTCTCTGGAACGGATTTCTTGTTTCTCTCCAGCCTCATCGCTCTGCATTCTTTGGTGATTCATTTGCCAGTTTCTTTCTTTTCGCTTCCTTCTTTTCCAACAGCATCCTGTCATTCTCTTCTCGGTGCTAGTCGCCCATCTCCCTTGAAGGGCCTTGCTTCAGTCCATTCCTTCATCACCAACGATCCAAACGAAACCAAACACGAACCCCATCCAACTTGCAAACACTTTAGCAATCCGCTAGCTTCACGATCTTTTCAGCAGACAACATGTTGCTCAAGTCAGCCGCCCTCGTCTGCCTCCTGGCTGAGCTCGGTCTCGCGCGCCATCACCAGCACCCCAAGCGCCAGGTCGCACCCTCCCCGATCTTGTCGAGCATCAGCATCCCGCCCCCTCCCTCGACGGGAACTGGCGCTGCCGGCGCCGCTCCGGGCACGGGTGGTCCGACGGGCATCTTCCTCAACACCTCGATCCCCGTCGCTACTCCTCAGGTCACGACCCTCACCGAGGTAGCAACCGTCACCTCTACCCTCGAGAACAACGCCACCGTCACCGAGGTCATCACCACCGAGCGCACCGTTACCGCTTCCGCCCCCGCCGTCATCCAGCAGCCCCAGATCATCATCATCTCCCAGGTCACCTTCTTCCAGTTCATCTCCGCCCTCGGCGGCGCCCCTCCCGCCGTTCAGCAGGGTGAGCAGGGCGGCTTCGTCGTCGGCGGCCAGCAGTTTGGCCAGTTCCAGTCCGCCTGCAGCGCCGCCTGTGGTATGCAGTTCACCCAGTGCCAGAGCATCGCCGGACAGAACTTTGCCATCTCCCAATGCCAGACCCAACTTGTCAACTGCCAGAACGCCGCAAAGACCGCCACCGTCACTGTCTCCGTGCCCGTGACCGTCACTCAGACCGTCATCCTTCCCAGTGGCCCCGTCTCTGGAGGAAGCACCCTGCCCTCTGCCACGCTCGAGAACGGCGGCTCCGTCATTGCCACCACCACTCTGCCCCCTGACTCTGGCGCCACCATCGGTTCCGGAGGCGTCAGCTTCGTCACCGTTCCCGCTACCCCTGCTGCTCCCCCCTCCCAGACGCCCGCTGCTCCCGAGACTCAGGTCTTGACCACCACTCTCCCCGCCAACCCCGACTCGCCCTCCGGCTCCCCCATCGTCTCCGTGATCACCATCACCCGCCAGCCCGGTTCTGAGCCCTCAGTCACCGGCGGTGCCTCCGAGCAAGCTGGCTCTGTCGAGACCTCCGCAGTCGTTTCCACCCTTCCTCCCCAGTCCGAGGGCGGCGCCCCTGTCGTTTCCACCATCTACATCACCAAGACTGCCGGTGTTCCTGTTGCTTCCGGCACGGCCGTGAGCTCCGTCGACGCAATTGCCAGCGGCTCCGTCCAGACCTCTGCCGTCGTTTCTACCCTCCCTCCCAAGTCCGAGGGCGGCGCACCCATCGTCTCGACCATCTACATCACCAGAACCGGCGGCGGCGATGTCCCCGCTGCTTCCGGTACAGCTGTCAGCTCCGTCGATGCCGTCGCCTCCTCCGCGGTCATCACTACCCTCCCCGCCCAATCTGAGGGAGGCCAGCCCATCGTGTCGACAATCTACGTCACTGCCCAGCCTCCCGCTCCCTCCAACGAGCCTGGTGCCTCCGGACAGGGCGGCGAGGTCGTCACTTCTGCCATTGAGACCACTCTTCCTCCCCAGAGCGCCGGCGGCTCCGCCATCATCAGCACCGTCTACGTGACTGCCACCGTGTCCGGAGGTGTCCCCGTCGCCTCCGGCACGGCCGTTAGCTCCGTCGATGCCGTCGCCAGCTCCTCCGCCGTCGTGACCACCCTGCCCGCTCAATCCGAGGGAGGCCAGCCCATCGTCTCAACCATCTACGTCACCGCTCAACCCCCTCAGCCTACCGGCGGCAGCGGCAACGGCAACGAAGGCGGCGCGGCCTCAGAGCAGGGCGGCGAAGTCGTCACCTCAGCCGTCGAGACCACCCTCCCTCCCCAGAGCGCCGGCGGCTCAGCAATCATCAGCACAGTCTACGTGACCGCCACCCTCCCCGCGGCCTCGGCCTCCGCTTCCGCATCCATCTCCCGCCCAGCTGAGCCCCCCCGCCCCAACGAGCCCAAGACCTCCGTCATCACAATGACCCTCGCCCCTCCCTCCGGCTCCCCCGTCATCTCCCTCGTCACGGTCACGATCCAGCCCACCGCAGGCCCCTCGGGCTCCGGCTCACCCCCGGCCCAGACCGAGGTCGTCACCTCCGCCCTGACATCCACCATCCCCGCCGAGGGCACCACCCCGCCCCGCGTAACGACAGTCTACGTGGCCGCCCAACCCCCCGCCCCAACCTCCGCCCCCGCCCCTCCCCGCGTCGTCACAGTCACAGTCGGCTCCCTCACCGGCGTCGTCACAATCAGCGACGCAGCTCAGAGCTCCGCCTCCGGCACCACCATCGCCTCGGCTCTCCCCAGCGCCGGCGCGGGCGGTAACACGGGCGGCAACGGAGGCAGCGGCGGCAACGGCGGAAGCAACAACGGCGGCAGCGGTAACGGTGGAAGCGGCGGCAACGGAGGCAGCGTCGGCGGCGAGAGCGGCGGAAGCTGCCCCTCGGCCGCGCCCGTCACCGTCACCGTCAGCGCGTGCCCCACCGCCCCCGTCACCTCCGTCCTGACCCAGACCGTCTCGGTCGTGCCCACGTCCACCCCGGCCGCCGTCAAGCGCGCCGAGGAGGGCAAGCGCGACGCCGTCTACCACCCCCGCCGCCACGGCCATGCCTTTGGCTTCTGGTAAACAGAACGCGGGTGGTGGTAAGTTTGAGCGAAGAGAAGATCATGAAGAGATAGCTGTGGCGGTTGAACAGAAAGATGAAGCCTGGCAGGAACGCTAGCCGCTTGTCGAGTATGATCAATCCTATCACACATTTCTTCTTCTTCCTTCTTCTCACACTCTCAAAACGACATCATGGGATATCAAGTCAAACCAACAAAAAAAGATGACATTGAGAAAAAAAAATCAACAAAAAAAATGGGCATGGCACAAAAAGGGTTCGTTCTGCACATGATACAGATGAGATCGATTGCCTCTTGGCAGACAGCTGTGCTGGGTTCTGGCCGGAGCAAACGGAAACGCAAGGATTGTTTGGACGATTTTGGGTGAAAAGGGTTCATGGGTTGGAGCATCATTCTTCTTTGGGGTTTTCTGTCTTGTCTTCTTCTTGCATTGTACATTGTTTCTGTCCGTTTCTAGAGTAGATAGGGCCAGGTCCCAATAACGGTCGATATCCCACGAATGTCAAAAGGATGCCACAACACTCCCGTTCCAAAGTTCTGCCATGCTGTGTGATGCAGATGCAAATGACAATCTTTCCCCCAAAATGCGAGTAATAGCGCTGCACTACTCATCTGATCCGCCTTCAATTGGATCGCCGTCATAATCAGGTAGCCCTCGGATATTGGCACGTCCATCCTTGGCCTTCTTCTTCTTCGATCTGCCCTTGGGCCGACCCCTTTTCTTAGTGACTTTGTTTACGCTCAGGGGCAAAACTGGTCCAGGGTTTCGGCTTGATGAGCTGGCTAGTCTCCCGACAAAGGTTTTTGGCTTGGCAAACCTTTGCCCCACGTTTTCGCCCAAGTCAGAATTGGATGGTTGTGCAATCGTTGACATAGAGTCCGTAATCTGCGTGAGAGCAACTTCAGATGTTGGAGACTCTGTTGCGGCTTGGGGTATGATTGGGTCCGAATCTTCTGCTATGAAGGAGCCTGCGATGTTTGTGTCATTGGTTTGATATTGGCTGTGCTCTGATTCACAGTCTACGAGATCTCCACGGATAGCCATGTCTGTCTGGCCAGCCTTTGGAGAAGATCTCAGCGATGCCGGAATCAGAGCGCCCTTACTTTGGTGTTGGAGCATCTTGTGTGGTGCAAGCTCTTTAGAGGCAAAGGCCGAGATGGGAGCCACAGAAGGTTGGTAGTAGTCGCTAGCGGAGCTACTTGATGGCCGCAAGTCTCGTACAGCCTCCTTGAGCGACTCTTTGAAAGCAACGTCTTCATCTTCTTCGATATCTTCGCCGAATATGAAGCTCATCCACTCTGTGTCCATGTTTACTTTCTCTGGGCCTGTCACGGGTATAGCATTTCCGGCATCTGTATCTAGTGCCCGAGGGAGAAAAATTGAGGTTTCGATATCCTCGTTTTCTTCGTTGGCGGGCCTCAAGTTTTGCTCACTTGGTTCTCGCTCGTTGTGAGTTGTTTTCTCCTCGCTATCCGACTCAAACATCGCCGGTAGCTGTCGAGGTTCCGCATAGTGGCCATCGTCTGAGCAGGAATCTGCGTGCGCCAGGGATGTGTCCTCGAAAAGCCCCTCTTTATCGTTGTAAAGGTCACCTTTGGGTCGACCAGCTGATAGAGCGGATGATCTGGTCGGCAGCGGAGGTGGTGAGGATCGCATCTTCTCTGCAGTGTCTCTTGGTTTGGCATCATTCTTGATCGAGGTGCCAAAGCGCTTGTACTGGCCAGTTTCTATATTATCCGGCGTTCTGTGGTCCAAAGAAAAGTCCGTAAATGTGCTCATCGGGGGGTGGTCGAATCTTGAACCATGGGCTACCGAGCTGCTTGAGTTGAGGATGTTGCTGACTCCGGGACTGATCTTGACGATCTTGCGACTTGCACTAGAATCTTCCTCGAATGGGCTTTTTGTTTGATCTTCATGAGACTCGATCATCTTTTGCCATCGCTCGTTCTCACTGCATTCCGATGACGCAACTTGCACTGGGTTGCGACCGACTTGACCAATGGTGCTCCCAAACATTTCGGACGCTGGTTTCCCTGATCTCTCGAGCATTACAAGCTGGCTCAGTCGTCGAGGCACAGGATGATGTACCCTAGATGGAGATGATTCAACAAGTAATGACCGACCTTCCTTTTGTAAACGCTCAAGTCGGCTCGGTTCCTTTGGCAAACGCTCAAGTCGGGTCGGGTACCTGTATGACTTGGGCGACATCGAGAAGCTCGGAGGGTTTCCGCGGCACGCAGCACTCTGTCCACGCTTTCGCTGCACCGAGTATACCGTTTCGGACACTGGCAAAGCTCTATAGTCGTGCAATCCTGGAGGAACATAGTCCTGCGCAGAGGTTTGAGACGAGGTTTGGCCGAAGTATTCCGACTGTCGCAAGTTTTTCGACTGGGTCGCAGTTCTGGGAAGACGATTCTGAGAGCTTCTTGCCGTGATCTGACTTCCTCCGCCGTATCGAATATCCTCACTGCCGATTCTGATCCTGACGTCTTTGTCTCCGCCTTGCGTGCTCATGCAGCTTGTAGCTTTGCCTTGTAGTGGCCTCCTTCCATTTCCTTTCTGCTCCCAGAAGAAGCCAGATTGACCCGCAGGATGCCTGTTGCGAAAGCCCCAGATCTGGCGTCCTTTCGAGCTTCCAGCTCCCGAGAAGTGCAGAGGCAGCGACTTTTGGATATTGATCCCAGCCCAGTCGCCTTTTTGTAGCAAGCGATGCCTCTTCGCATCCAAGAGCTCAGGGTCATGGGTAGGAAGCTTTCGTTTCTTGGTAGCATGCTGTGAGCGAGGCTCATGTAGAATGCCTTGGTCTATTGCGACTATAGGTTCCTTCCGCACATGCTGCCGTGGCGAGGTCCACAGACGGTGATCCTGAGGAACATTGTGCTGGTTTTTCTGGTTGTATTGGCGGTGCTGGCTGTGCCGGTGTTGCTGATGCTGCTGGTGTTGCTGGTGTTGTTGGAAGTGCGGCGAATTTTGTGATGGAACTGTAGAGAGGCGCTTCGTAGGATGTGTCGAAGGATTGGCCTGCTGAGAGAAAAAAGAAATAGAGTCGAGGCCGGGCTTGGGAGGACCATGGAGTCCCGAGCGAGCTTTTGCGAAGTACTGTTTTTGTTTAGCGATCTCTGGTTTCCAGCCCTTCCCTCGAGAATGTCGAGCCAAAGCTCCCTCGGTCCAGTTCATGGTATGAGCAAGAAGATGGGTTGCTGGTGTCAGTAAGGGATGAAGAGTTGATTCGTATAGCAAGCAAATGAAGTCAGAGATCACAGCATGAAGCAAAGATGTTTGGTACAGCCCTTCGTTCCTTCAATCAAGGTATATTGGGTTGTTCAAAATCATCCTCGGACAAACCTGGCTCTAGTAGGCAAGCGCGATTTCGCAGTCTGGAAATATTCTGTATTGCTCTTTCCTCAGTCGATTGTACCTAGGTATACCCATATCATGTGATTTCCGTCTGTTGCTCCTGCCTGCAGAAAAGCAGAAAATGCTCCTGCCTACAAAGAAGCAGAAAGGGCAACAACGAGCAAAGCAAGACAGGAAGTCGCGATTGCTGTTGCAGTTGCCGCCTCAACGATGGAAAACGACCCCTATTTTCTGGTACAGTACGAATGCAGTGGTTCTTGCCATCTGTGCACTGGCGCAAATCCACTCTTTCCCACCCCATCCTGCAGGCGGAAGAATTTAAGAAAGTAGACGGGAAGGAAGGGCACACCCACTCGGTGCTTTCCATTGTTGGGTCTGGGCAGCCAAGGCTCAAGCAGTCTCGTTGGATGCGGCGCCTCGCCTTGCCCTGCGCTTTCAGGCACGCCGCACATTGCGGGCGCGCTGTGACACATCAAAGTCATCCTCCACCCTCCACTTGGTCCCTTGGATCGTGGATATCCTCCATCCAAGTTCCAGAACGCCCTCCCGTCTTATCTCCCACCGCTTGGCCCGGAACGATACTCCGAAAATAACCACTGACCGCCGTCGGCCGAACACGAGTCTGACTCAACCCGGCTCTGGCAACGATGTCGACTGCGCCCTGCTGTGGGCTCGTGTCGCGTCGCCATGCACACACGTCCTCGGCCTCTCCATGTGGCGCTTGCCAGTACCGAGATGCACCTCTTACCCCCTGAGAAATACACAACTGGTTCCAGAAGAGCCGAGTGGCTTGTGAGAAAGACACTCCCGGTTCCCGATTCCGGTTCTCCACGTCGTAGTCGAATTCGAGGTTCAGGCCCAGCCCGACACTTGTCGCGGCCGACGTCACAGAAGCGGCCTTTGTCTCCCGGTTCTGTTTTCCCGGCTGCCTCTTGCAGTCTCCAAGATCTCCTGAAAGACATCACACCGAAACCCATGATGGTATTGCCGCTATTCTGGGTCGGCTTCCCCTAATCGGCCATGACAAAGACGTCATTTTTGACCTCGTGAGACTCTCGATCGGGGGCCCTGACATGCCTCGCCCAGGTGCCCCGGCAGTGTTCAGCCAAGTCCCGATCGTGGCGGGTGGCAGCCGACCAATGAGAGAATTACTGTGTGTCAACGCCGACCACTCAGCGACGAGACCGGCGAATTCTCGTTGTTCGTAGAGTTCGGACGATGGGAAATGACGACTTTTCGCATGCGATTGAAGGGGAAAAGTCGACGACGAAAACCAGCGAGATCGTGGTTGAAAACGAGAGAGGGTTGGACTTCGCAGGCGGTCGGTCGAGATGGGTCTGGTTCATGGACTGCCGGTGTGGGATGCGGACATCGAATGTCGTCGGAGCAGCCGACCGCAAAAGTCTTGGGCCGTGGTGGTGCTGCCGTGCCTCCTTTGCCGGCCGTTGCCGCTGCTCCTCCTTGCCCGGTCTCGGCGACCTGGTAGACGAGCCGATTCTGCAGAGTCCTGGTCAATTAACGAGAGGAACACCACACAACCGATTCATCCACACTCCTCCCCCATCCCCGCCGGGCCGGCGCCCAAACCCAACATGGCTGCTCCATCCACATTTTCCAGAATCCAACATTGCGGCACTAGCCCTCGGGTTGGGACCCAAACAGCAATTGTCCGCCGTGGACGGGGTACCTCTGACTGCACCTCATGTTCGCAGCGTCCCCATGTCACTGCCGCGGCTCTCCACCGAGTAAGCTTGTCAGCTGTCACACACTTCACCGAGGTCAACGACACCCCGTGAAGTTACACATCGTTGCCCATCGACTGGAGTCGCGAATGGCAAGAGAGGGAAAGGTGCTTAGCAGTCAAGGGCACCGCGATAGCTGAGGAGCTCCTCGAGAGATTAACGCCAGTCTTTAAGGAGACCTTGGAACCGACACGGCTCCTGAGAGAATTCAATTATTCTGCACTTACGCTTCGACCAATCAGCGCCCAGCGATAAGCCAGCAATGCAAAATGCACCATCCCCCACTAGCGTCCCACACTTGATGCTTTGGAGACACCCGAGATGGAGGTCTCCTGCAGGTCACATCTGGAGATCAAGTTCCATAATGGAATCATCAAAGTTTTACCTGAAGTTTGTCTAGGAGCGGCAATGGTTTCCCAGAATACATTCAGCATACAGCCTGAATCAACCGCGGTGGGCGAGTGAGATGTTGGGACGGACTATCCATATGGACATGTTGAGGGGTAATCGTGTATCCGGCGATGGGACGGAGGTACCACAGTCCTACGAATACCCTGCCGAGAGCAAAAATTGCGGGGGAGCCCGACTTTGATACGCCGTATCATCGTCAGAAGAAGAATGTGTGTGATATGGCCGACTGGAGACCGACTGAACATGCGACGAATGGACAGCATGCCGTTCCTCCAGCGACGTCTTACGGGAGGGGCAATGGACAAGGAAGAAGCAGAGAATCCAGCCTTCTTCTCATGGTCCACTCCAGCTCTGTGCATCCTGCAGTGTCCAAGACGTTTGGGCTGCATATCAGCCAGATATTCACTCAGGTCTTGCAGGGACGGGTCACGGCAGGCCATGTGGATTGGGTATCCCTCCGAAGATAGCTTCGACATGGTCGATTCGTGGAGCAAAAGCTTGGGGGTTCCTTGGGGGTTCGCTGACGAAAACACCATCGAATATTGGCCGGAAGGGCAAGTCGACTAGTGATTCCGAAGGTTTGGGCTCAGCAAGATGACCATCCCGCTGTCGGAGAGAAGTTGCGATATGGGGTTTCCCCCGAACTCCCCCAAATGACTCGGGCCTGGTTGTAAACACACCGTCGCTCACAGGATACCGACAAGAAGCCATCGCACTGACCACAGATCTGACCTTGGGAGCGCATCTGGCCCAGAGCAACACCACACCCCACCTTTTGCCCCTCGCCGCCGCATTATGGGTCGACAAGCTCGATAGCCTTGTGGTGGGATATGTGACGGCTTTGTCTGGGACCAGTCCAACTTGGGAGTCACGATGACACAGAGGTACAGATACCTTGGAGAATGAATAAGGGTCGCCGGGATATACCCCCACCAAGGGGTTACAGACTCGCACAAGGAGACGCACAAAGACCAAGACAATCAACGTTGAGGGTCGTCAAGATATCGTTACCGGGAGGCGGGCAAAATTTTCATGAGACGACCATCTGCACGACGTAGGCGGAAGCTGTGCCAACGACAGGACGAAGGAAGCAACTCCTCGAGGATGGGTGCCTTTCCTGCGCCGCGGGCAAGCATAGTCATGGCAAGGATTGGAGATTGATGATGATAGGGGAATTAGCGCAAGTGCGCGCGTCGCCGTGCCGCGACGAGTTGCGCCGGCGGAACGAGAAGAGATTTGTGCGATGAAATGGACGTTACGATTCTGGGGCCGGTGAGGGTGTGAGACTCCGACTCTGAGTGGCTGGTGCGCGATGTATCGTCATCCTGGGACCTAGGGTCCTTTGGCGGGGAAACTGGGAAAGTCGACTCGAGGGAAAGGTCGTCAAGCTGACGGGATTTTGGAAAGTTGAGGTACCTGACGACACCCCCCAAAGCTGACCGGAAGAGTACAGTGCCATCCCAAGGAAATTCCGCGCCAGGAATATGCACGCTGTCGCAATATGGCCATGCGATCGTCGGCGTGGAACCCGAGCAACCAAGTTGCAAGCGACGCTACTTTACCTCGGGGTATTCAGAACCGCCCAGCAAGCCATTCGCGGAGCCAGCACCGGTTCTAGGAGGCGCTCTAGTTAGGTAGGCCCGCGGGATTTACGACGACGAGAGTTTATTGGAATTCAACGCAGTCTGTCTCCTTTCCGTTCTGGAAGCGAGATTCAGACGAAACGCGGCCTTACGAAAAATCGACTGGCCGCCTACTCATCAGCGGCCGTTTTTGGGCATCAGAGTTCCAGGACCCTTTTATCGAAAGCGGTCTGGAACGGGACCAACTCCAAGACCTGTAATATCTCTTCTTGGGCTTCCGGCCTGTCTCCGAAAGGCGGATGCCACAGCCACAGCCACCGTGAGCAGCGCTACAGACACTGACAGCGACAATAGTGTAGGTACTCTGTAAGACTGTGCCTCAAGGATAAGAGGAGCGGCGCCAGCGACCCGACAGCGGCGGCGAGGGCGAAGGCGATGGGCACGGCGGCGGGCGACAGTGCACACGAGCACCCCAAAGATCCAAGGATAGAAACAGCGGACAGCGGACCGAAGGACGTGGGCCTCGTAAATGACATGTATCGGTACGTGCCCCGCGTTGTGGCACGGTGGCTCCTGTGGGTGAGAGGTACCTGCTTGGTCCTTGAATCGCCAGTCACGATACCTTGCTCTATCTCTGGCTGGGTCTTTACAGTCCGGTTTGCCGCACCCGTTTATTACTTGGTCTACCTGCAATTTTCTTGTTGTCTGTAGCCTGTACGAAACCTGGATACAAAGCAGCGATTTCTCGAGGTGGTCATTGTTGGGTCGGTGGTCGCAGCTGCAGCAGCTAGTCGCAGATACTGCCGCAAGGGCGGTGCCGGGCGGCCTCTGAGTGGCTCGTCAACGGGCTACTGGGCGCACGTCGAAGTCATCGTCACACATTTTGATCAGTGATTTTCATACTTATCAGTCTTGGAGACTAGGGTTGACAGAACAAAACCACCCAAGTGGAAGCGGAAGAGGAGTTTCCCAGGGGCCATTTACGGAGAAGAGGAAGTTGACGATACCTCTAGAGGTGAAAGGTCCGCCCGTCGCATTTCCGTTTCCCACGGAGACTTGATGCCGGTGGCAGAGGACCGCGGGG